CTGTGAAATTGTCATTGACATTATATTGTTTGAGATTATAACTGTGAATATTATTACAATGTAAGTGGACTAAACTTTGATGTATTTTGACCATTTGTGAACTTTGAAAGGGACTGAGACCTCTGAGTTTGTTTCGGCGTTTCTTCTCAGAGTAGTCCGTAGGAAATGCCGACTTAATTAAAATGCGAACAAGTAAAGGTGCACTGTCGAAAGTAAACGTTACTTTATTTACGAAGATTTAATTGTTTTATTACTGCATAAACATACCTCTACCGATATATATGACGAAGAGGGCTCTCGCTTGACATCGCCCATACCATCCTCCGACATATGTTATGTTATCTGTTGGATCAATAGATTAATTACCCTCTTTTAAATGTTTATTTTGTACTGAAACAAATTATATTATCTGTTCCATTAAATTCATTACATGTGATTTTGTCTCTTTACAGTCAAGAATTACATCGCTCACATTTTCTACGGAATACAGAAAACTTTGCAAAGAATTCTTCACGAAAATGCATCTCTTTTACTTCAAAGATATATCTGAACATGCGATGGCGGTATTGTATTAACTATAAACACTTTCATACACTTATTGTATTAACTTTTTTTAACAACTATAAACGCAATATGTCAAAAAAGTGTGTTATCTTTTTTGTTTTTGATCTGAGAATACTTACATTACATTTGAATTTGAGAAGAAAATATTAGTGTGGAGTGTAGTTAAAAAATTATTGGTCCCAAAATACTTGCTAGAGGAACACCTTTATCATTTTTAGGTGGTTATCGATGATTTGTTAAGGGAAACATGTTTTCATTTTATTTTAGACTCACAAACGGGTGCACTTGATATCTCATTTGTTTACTTTGTGGTTATTATTTCAAATGCTGTTTGGGGTGCCTCTTTTTAACCTCGTACCAATGTACTATAATTATGCTGCTGGAAGATATAAACCTGGTGGCACACAAAACTCAACTTTTGAACATTCTATGTATTACCAGTATCCATTTGATACGCTCACTGAAATAAAGGGATATATCGTTGCTAATATTATTAATTGGTAAGTGCGGAACTACATAACCAATAATGTTATTCTTAAAAAGCGAGACTAGATTTGTTTTGATCTTATTAATTTCATAAATATTTTTTTTACATACATTTATTTATTAGTGTAATTTTATTTTGGAATTCTAAACGTAGGTTGTTTGTTATTGTTTATCTATGAGTATTTTATTTTGATTGGTATGCATTGGTATTTGTTTTTACAGGATATTGTCTTCTCTCTGCGTAATCTGGTTTTGCATGTGTGACCTCATTCTATTACTGATGGTGTTCAATATTTGGGGACATTTGAGAATGCTTACATACACCCTGAATAATTTTCCTAGACCAAGTGTAGAGACTACTATCACAATAGATGGAGGATTAACAGTAACAAGTGCTATATATTCTGATGAAGAGAACGTACAAATATTTAGAAAGTTAAAAGAATGTGTTGATTATCATCGACGTATTGTTGAGTAAGTAAAAATTGTTGTTCACAAATGAATACAAGTGAAAATAAATCTTTTGCTCCTTTCACCAACCTGTCCTACATTTTATATATAAATATAAATATATATATAAATAAAAAAGGAACCTCTTGATGAAACTTATCGAGATTTTGGTTTTCAACAAACTATAGTTCCTAACCTAACCCAATAGTTCAAGTTAGGGGTCAGTTAAGTGCTACGTCGCGTCATTCTAAATTATTTTAAGTCATGTTACGGTTTGCGGGTCTTTGGCGAAAATGTTCTTTTGTTTGTTATCTCCTTGTGCTTTATCTATGCAACCAATCTTCTCACATCTAAAACTGCATTAGTTGGAAGTAATGAAAGATATAAGACTCAAGGTACAAGCTGGAATTGAGCGACGTGAGGTGGCAGCGGACGATATGTTGTCGCTTCAAGTCATCACGACACTTTGTAACGACCTATTACTGCAGTCATGATTTCGAACTATAACAGCAGCACTCACTTCTGATCCGCAGTCGGGCTACAGTGTCGTCTGCCGGTCGACGACGCGTCGCTAGCTTCGTGCTTCGTGTCGCTGTGCTCGCTGTCATTGCAGCGGTAAGTCTCCTCTTTGAGGAGTAGCTTGAGAGATGCTACGGCGTCCTCACCTACCGCCTGACGCAAGTGCTTACCAGACACGGGCGTTTCGGTATGTTTCTGTTTCGGATTGAGCGGAAGGAAACGCCTGGGTGTCATCAATGCGAGGACCGCCCAGAGGACACGGTGGCAGTGTGTCCTGCGTGGGCTGAGCACCGCCGTGTCCTCAGGGATGTGCCCAGCCGTCGCGAAAGACACTTCGGGCGTCAGGGATAGCGAGACGATCTCCGGCCACCGTAAGCATGGGCCTGCGGACGGCGAGCACGGGTGACTCGCCGCCCGACCAGAATCAGGCCCGAGCGTACGGCGCGTCGCGTTCAGCGGACTCAAGGAGCCAAGTCAGACCACCACAAATGGGGCCCAACAGGGCTGATGCCGGTACAGAGCCGCGAAAGACTTAACGGGTTGCGGGGCCTTGGCTGGAAGTGCAGGAGTAGGAACGGGGTGGTTTTTAGCCAGTAAAAGACTGACCCCCCCTTTCGCCGCACCCGGGCGGGAAAAGTCATTGGATGATTTCCCCCCTCAAAAAAAAAGCTTCATGTCGCTAACTGCGGAGTTAATATCATAGAAATACATAGAAACCATGTCCCTGCGACACGTCGTCCGCTACTGCCTCATTTATGTATTTATTTATTACAGTCACAACGGTTGAAAACAAAAACCAATTAAAGTAACCGGACACATTAATAATATACACGATGAAATAATAAAACCAGAACAAAACATACACAACGAACCAGAAGAGTAAAACTTATTTAAAAACTGGTAGCATTCATAAGTTCCTCTCGCAGTACTTCAGGCATTCCGATAAAATCTCCTTCCATCCGTTCGCAAACAGATCATGTCGCCCGCTTCCAACTTGTACCTTAATTCTCTCTAATAAATTCATTAATTCATAATACTTATTCAAAAATACTGATTACAGATTTAATAGCAAAGTTTCTGATGTATTTGGTCCAATGTTGATTATCTATTATTTATACCATCAAACAAGCGGCTGTTTATTGTTACTGGAGTGTTCACAAATGGTTTGTTTTTCTTTTGGTTTTGATACTGATGTAATGAATTTTCAATTAAATTAATATTTTGTACTATTTTTGTTCTCAGACTGCACCAGTCCTAATGCGTTATTTACCCCTGACGATAGTGTGCACTCAGCAACTGATTCAGTTATCAGTAATTTTTGAATTAATTGGAACTGAGGTATAACCCCTTTAAATAAGCTAAGCTAAGGCTAAGAAATGCTTACATCATTATTTTTTTTAATTAAAAAATTAAGTGGGTGACTAATGCTTGCACATTGTTCTGCCACATAAGTTAGATGGATTCAGGATGGGTCATAGTTGCATTTTTGAAAATTAAACGCGTGGAGCTTCCAGTTCTGTCGTCGTTCACCATTTTCATCAAAAACACACACACACGCGTTTTCTAAAATATTTGTGATTCCACACAAATGAGTACTTTTGACCCAATTTCAATGACGCCAGGTTAAATATGTTTCAGAGCGAAAAGTTACCAAGCGCCGTGTACAGTGTACCATGGGAATGTATGAGCATAAGTAATAAAAAATTTGTGATATTCTTCTTAATGAATGTTAAAGAGCCAATAGCTGTGAAACCTCTAGGCATTGCCAATGTCGGTGTCACGACTATGGCTTCGGTGAGTTTTACTCTAACTGAAGTTTTATGATCATACCTATCACACTTAATGGGCACGACACCGATACGGCCCCCACCCAGCAATTAACTTGTCATTTAAATATGTAATTTAAGTCATATGTTGTATGATATATTTCATAACGGCAATATGCGTTACGGCTGTAAGAGCACCATCTGCGCGCCGTCAGCGGACTTACAACCTTTTTGTATTATACCTAACCTTTTAGTGTTGTCTATGGCAACAAAGTTTAAACATTAAATGCGTATATTTAAAGTTTTAATTTTACAAATTCATGTGCAAGTGAACTTATTTTGTGTTTCATCGCTGTGTAACAACTCAATAAACCTCATAAAACGTTTGCAATACTGTGCGTCAAACAATTGTGACAATATACAAATAATATGGAAATATGTTTATTGTAAAAACAAAACATTGAAAAAATGACTTTTTCGACCTATACCGTAGTGTCAACATGAATATAGTTAAAAAATAAATCAATCAAAAAGTGATTGTAGAAAAAGTGACTTGTAAAACGGTAAAACTTGTTTATTGCGATTATAAATAACCGTTACAGTTTGATTAATTTTCAAATGACCTTTGGACCCTCAACAATAGCAAAGACAATGATAATTGAATGAACTTATAAATAAAATCTCTCCTTTACACGAAACGAAAACAAACAACTGTCAAACATATGTATTGCCAACCTATGATCGGTGTTACAAGTACAAAAAAACAAACCCAAAATAAGGGTAATTGACAAAATTTCATAAAATTATTGATTCATCACATAATTAACGTATCGACTATTGGTGCTCCGAATCTGCAGGCATTTGAAGGTAATTCTCGCCATGGATCTTGACCGGAACATCACGTATCGAAGGCCACGACGTGCCAGCTCCCTTATTGACGTTTCAAGAGCTGAATCGCCTGTTTTTGACACTACTATGATGAGCCTCCCGAACACATCAATTAATGAAAACCAGGCAATAGTTGAACTCAATGAAAAAATAACTATTCTCACAAACCAATTGGCCAGTGCACACCAAGAAATTGACAATCTAAATTCCGAGAACTTCCGCTTAAAGACTGATTTGAGCAAAAGTATGAAAGTTGCCGAGACATATAAAAATATTTATTTATCAGGTAGTATACGTACAACACCCAGCCGATTAAAAAAACAAAACGGTAATTCGTCTACACCAACTAAATGGACCACCCAGCAAATTCCCAATGATGAACGTATAACAGACGATGGTCAATCGACAAAAACCTCCCCGCTGCTATGTAATACCTCGCGTTGCGGAATGGCACACGAAATGGATGAAAAAATGGATTCAGACGGTATAGAAATCAATACAGAAGGTAATGTAGAAAGTACAACAGTTCAAACGGAGAGTTCACCAGTTGTAAATAGCAACAAGAAAATTGAGGCGGAGAATACTCATGATGTAGAAACTTCACAGAAACACTCACTTGGTATCGGTATTAGTGGTGAGGCGAAACATCAAGTAATAGTTATTGCTGATGATCAGGGACGCCACACTCAAAAATTATTACAACGCTTGATTGGAGAACAATTCCAAGTTAGTTGCTTTTGGAAATCTGGAGCGACATTACAAGACGTGCTACTGTGTGAGCGAAATAAAATAACTTCTCTAACTAAAAATGATTATGTGGTTATATTAGGTGGTACGAACGACAAGTCTCCATATATTTTTAAGACATCTGTCAGTAATTTTTTATATTGTTCTAGGAACACTAACATTCTGTTTTGTGAAATACCGTACAATAATCATCTTAGGGAATCAAAATTGAATTACGAGCTAAAATTCTTGTGTTCGAAATTTTTGAATGTTAGATATATTGATATGGGTTTTTCTGTAAGGGTACCTCGGATTCGGAAGATCTTGGTTCAACATACTTGTCGATTATTGTTGAAAGAAATATTACAGTTAGATTATAAATTTAAATTTGATGATTTCCAAAATAAAAAGGAAAAGATAAATGAAACTAAATCAGTGGATAAGGGTATTCAGACTGACGGATTATATGAAACGGATGTACTAATTGATGCAAAAGCAACTAGACCTGCTCACAATATACAAAATAGTTTTTTTCGTGTATAAATGTATAAATATTCTTCATCAAAACATTAATGGGGCTATGAATAAATCTGAACTTTTGTATGTAAATTTGGAACAGTTAATAGAACAGGGCAGTCCAGCTGACGTAGTATGCCTGACCGAGCATAACATGTTAGGAGAGGATATTAAATTGTTATATGTACCAAATTACTCTCATGCAACATCTTTCAATCGAAGTAAGCGCCACGGCGGTTCTTGTATATTGGTTTACAATAAACACCAGTATAAGTCTATTAAGGCAGTGAAAAAACATGCGATTGATGGTGTGATTGAATGCTGTGCCATTGAGCTCGTGATTCATGGCCTTATTATAATTTGTGTTTATAGGCCACCTAGAAATAGTGTGCAACAATTTGAACAATTTTTCACTCAACTTGATTCTGTACTTAAAGAGTTATGTTTCTCTAAAAAGAAAGTAGTTATATGTGGGGATTTTAATATAAATACAATGAAAAAATCTAAAGAGTCAAACCAATTATTGAATATTGCATGTTGCTATAACCTCAAAGTGGCGATTAATGAGCCAACCCGTTCAAGTAGTGGCACTTGTATCGACAACTTTATGTACGATGTTAGAGGATGCAAGTGTAATATCTATGAATTTGCTCTCTCCGATCATTCAGCTCAAATTTTATCCTGTCCAGTTAAAGAAACATGTTCTCTTACTCACTGGTACATTAAGAAAAGAGATTATAGCAAGGAAAATATAATTAAATTTAAAAGATGCTTGGAATCCCTTAGTTTTAACGATGTATATAGTACGGATGATCCTAATACTGCCTTCGACAGTTTTCATGACATATTTACATTATTTTATTACCTGTGTTTTCCATTTACATTACTTAAAAAAACCAGTCGTATGAAACCATCATGGTTATCAAACGGTATACGTGCATGCTCAAAACGGAAAAGAGATTTATTATGGCGGTTTAGAAAACAACCAAATCCACATAATAAAAACCAATTTAAATCATATTCTTCACGTTTATCCAAAATTATTAAACTTACTCAAAAATCGCAAAATGATTTTAAGATTAAAATGGCAACAAATAAATCAAAAGCGACTTGGTCCGTTATTAAACATAGTAAGCAAAATATACCGAGAGTACAAATCACGCAGGTACGAGTTGATGGTAATATAATAGATGACCCGTTTCAGATTGCTGAAACGTTTAATAAATTTTTCATAACCGGTAACAAAACCAACGCAAATGACAATCCCAAATATAAATTATCGTTATGTAACAACAATTATTATCACTCTTTATTTATAAACCCGACTTCTCCATTCGACATTGTACAAATAATAAATTCTTTAAATAATACAAACAGCACTGGTTACGATGATGTGAGTACTAAAATATTAAAAATTGTATCTGTAATTATTTCACCCGTTTTGAGTTATATTATTAATTTGTGTATAGTTTCTGGAGTATTTCCAAACAAGTTAAAATTTTCTATAATCAAACCTCTATATAAAAAGAATGATAGAGAGCTCATAAATAATTATAGACCTATAGCACTCATACCTATTTTTTCTAAAGTACTTGAAAAAGTTATCGGTAAAAGTCTTTATCAATTTTTCGAATTAAATAATATATTTACTAACAAGCAGGCAGGTTTCAGAAAGAATAAAAGTATAAATTTGGCTGTGTATAACTTTTTGCATTCTATCATGACGGGATTGAATAATAAACATTTAGTTTCCGCATTGTATATGGATTTAACAAAAGCATTTGATTACGTTAATCATAATATTTTGCTACATAAACTAGAAGCGTATGGTGTCAGAGGCAACGTATTGGCATTATTAAGATCTTACCTCAGTGATCGACAGCAATGTACTCAAATCTCTCGCATATGTCCAAAAACGTACATAGAAACTGATTACTCATCAGATTTTAGTGACGTACTTCAAGGGGTTCCACAGGGCAGTGTACTCGGCCCCTTATTATTTATCATTTATATCAATGATCTGCCTAATTTTGTTGACCATGATATGGTTTTATTTGCAGACGACAGCACAGTTATGTACAGTGACAAAAATAAAAATGACTTAGAACTAAATATTAATTATACTCTTGGTACAATAATTCAATGGTTAACCTATAATAATTTGCTAATAAATTTAGATAAAACTAATATTATGACATTCAGGAACAGGAAAAATAAATTGCAACAAATTGACATAAAATTTAATGGATGTAAGATTAACGAAGCGGAGACTGCGAAGTTTTTGGGTCTTCATGTTGATAGCGGTTTGAATTGGAAATTTCAAGTTGAAAGCATATGTACAAAGTTAAGTCAATTCTCTTATGCACTGTATATGCTTGGCAAGGTAGTGAACCCATCTGCTGTTATTACCGCATATCACGGGTATGTTGAATCACTATTAAGGTACGGGGTCATCTTTTGGGGTAACTCGGTTGACAAAGACATTGCGTTTAAAGCTCAAAAAAAATGTGTCAGAGCAATATGTAAACTTACACCTACAGAGAGTTGTAAACCCGTTTTCATTAGATTAAACTTGTTAACTTTACCATGTATTTATATCTATGAGGTAGCCATATTTATAAGGTTGCATAATTCAATGTTTGATCATTTAAAGAGCAAACGACATGGTATGAAGATATGCTTTCCATCAAATAAAACTGCTCAATTCAGTAATAGTATATTTTGCATGGCACCTCGTATTTACAACCATCTCCCGCTTGACATATTGCGATGCTCAAACATAGGAACATTTAAATTTAAATTAAAGCAATTACTTATTAATAAGGCATATTATAATGTAAACGATTATCTTAGTGACAAATTCAGTTGAGTTTTGGGTTTGCTTAGTGTTTATGACTCAATGATATTAATTCTTTTATGATAATAATGACTCAATTTTATCTTCTTGGACTACTAGTAACATCTACCTATATTTCCTTATGACTAATTTAAACAATGTAATTAATAAATAATAAATTATAATTGTAATTAATATTTTCTTATGACTAATGCAAATAATGTAAGTAATAAATAATAAATTGTAATTGTAATTCACAAAAAGTATTGCATGCTAATTGGCAGAATGTAGCTGATCAAATTATTTTATAATAACTACTGTAACATCTACACTAACTCGACCTATATTCGCAATAAATGATTTGAATTTGAAAATTTGAAAAAAAATTTATTTCCAAAACAAAAAACATTAGACCAGAGCCATGTTGGAGCCGTGCTTATTAAATGTGTATCTTTTCTTATCCTAATTCCTCATCATCATCATCATCATCATCATCATCATCATCATCATCATCAACATCAACAGCCTATAAATGCCCGCTGCTGAGCAAAGACTCTTCTCACACGGAAAAGGTTTGAGCATTAATCACTACGCTTGCTCAATGTGGGTTGGCGATTAAAAACCTTTAATTATAAATTATAGGCCCAGGTTTCCTCCACCACAAAGCTGATGTTTTCCTTCACCGTTTGTCAGCGGTGTCTAGATAATCTTAGAAAGTACTTATGATTCGGAAAACGTCACATTGGTACTTGACGTTGCATCGTCATACATGAAAAGTCTTAACCCTACGGGCGACCACGACATTCTTAATTCCTAAGACACAGGAAAGAAAATTAACAAAATTAGAGCATCTTCATGTACCCACAATGAATAACTGGTCAACATATCAAGCCGACCACCAAAAGTAACTTTATTTTTGCCCACTGTAAAATAATACACATCAATCTATACAAAACCAGTTTATCCTGGTGTCGCGTCGCATCATCTTTCCGTAAATTTAACGTTCAGTTTATATTGGTTATTTAAAGCTCGATGTGTAGCCGTGTGTACATACTAGTGATACATTTACGGTTCAGCTCATATTTTCTTTTAAAACTAACGTAGGTGTTTTTTTTTTCAGATTTTGAGAACATCGTTGTCCTATTTCACCTTTTTACGCAGCATTTGAATATATTACTTTTTAATTTATTAATGTCAACTATCTCTCAAATCATCTCTCACGATTTTTGTAAAGTTTTCTCACAAATTAATTATCACACTATGTCTGTGTTAACAATTAGATCAAAAATTTTAGTAATTATGAATGTGTTTCCTATAGAATAATTTATCACCAATTGTTTTTCTATTGTATCAATAAATTCTGACGTCACAAAGTCATGAATTTTATTTTTTTTAGACGTTTTTATTTACGGCATAAGCCGGTTGTCGAGCGGACGGATCACATGATGGTAAGCAATCGGCGTCGCCCATGGACACCCGAAACACCAGAGGCGTTCCTAGTGTATTATCCGACCCGAGCGTACGGCGCGTCGCGTTCCGCGCGCGCCTCAAAGAGCCCTCAGACCACCACAGATAGGGCCCAATAGGGCTGTTGCCGATTCGGAGTCGCGGAGAACCTAACGGGTAACCGGGGCTCCGCCTCGACGTGCAGGAGAAGGAACGGGGTGGTTTTTAGTCAGTAAGAGTCTGACACTCCCTTCCGCCTCACCCAGGCGGCACCCAGGGGGAGAGGATTGGATGATTTTCCCCCCTTAAAAAACAAAGTGTATTATCGGGATATGTATATAGTGCATAGATTGGAGGGGAGGGGCGTAATTGGGCCTCCGGTAACCTCACTCACACGACGAAACTCAACGCAAGCGTTGTTTCACGTCGGTTTACAGTGAGGCCGTGGTATCACTCCGATCGAGTCGGCCCATTCGTGCCAAAGCATGGCTCTCCCACATTTAAAAGACCTATTATAATTCATCCTGAAGACAAAAAAAGTCCCAGTTAAGATACATACAGGCTGTTCAATTGTACGTGGAGGTAAATGAAAGATACTAAAAAAATAGGTACTCTTCTAGAGGAAAGCCTCCACTATGTCAAGCTAACCTAATTGATTATGATTATATTAGATTTTCATCCTTATAAAATCTTCGCAAGAAGGTTGAAAGCCGAATGTAGTCTTTCTAATAAATCTAACAACAGCAACCACAACAATCTAGCATTGAAATCACTTTGATTCATAGATCAATAATGAATTTCACCTTGAATTTTTTGTTTCGCCTTCTTTTTAACGACATATTAACTTTTTAATGACAAAATGACATAATAACATTATGACAGTAATTTGACACAATTACGGTTAAATGTTACCATGTTGCCAGGGGTAAGAAATAATTTATCCATATTTTTCCTTTTTCTTCCTTCTATCATCGAGTGTTTACAGCTATGGTTGCTCTACTATTTGATTAAAAACTATTATAGCATTTTTTATTTAAAAAATAAAACTATCTGAGTTTACTTTTGTACTTATAAACGGTATATTTTTTTACATGGGACATGCCCACCACAACCTCCCAAAACCGTTACAACTCCTGTAAGCCAGACTTTAAAGTAGATAAACGGTGTTAGATGATGGCAAGAAAAGCTCCAGCCTGAAATCCAGCATCAATGCCCTCTGGTAATCTCACACACACAGTTAAACACATCGTAAGAGTGGTTTTTTGTGACGTGGTGATGTTATTACGGTAAGGCAAACCGCTGCATGTTTTACATGTACAAGCATGGCTATCACGTATGATAAACATGATTTAGAGAACACAGCTACTAGTCTTTCAGTTACTAGTCTGGCAGGAGTTTTTAACTACACGGTTGGCGCAGTGGCTGGGCAACTGGCTGCCGTGCATCGTGTCGCGGGTTCGATTCCCGCATGAATATGTGATCAATACAACAACTGTTTGTGTGATCCACAGATTGTTGTTTCGAGTCTGGATGTCATGTGTGTGAACTTGTATGTTTGTAAACGCACTCACGACACAGGAAAAAACCAAGTGTAGGGCAACGTTTAAAAAAAATAAATAAAAAGGAAATAATTTTTGATCAAAAGCGTTTTTTCAGTTGAATCAGGGAGATTCTTCAGATCATCAGTCATAGAAGAGAATGAATGAATATGACACAATGAAAAATAGTTGACCGTCAATGAATCCGATCACATAATATGTCCCACATTTTAGGGTAATTTCTTGCTACTATTTTTGCACGTGGAAAGTATTTTTATCGCGATAGCTACTTAGTAGACTTCTGAGTGCGTTTGGATGTTTCATAGAAACTATTTTAATATAAGTTTAATGACTAAGATTTGTACCTGCCACACAATTCACTTCATTCTCCAATGAGTCTTAATAAAAGACCAATATATCGCAGTATTTAATACTTTACATATTCTTTCAAAGATGGGTTTAAGAAACTTTCTTTTTGGAAACGAATCAGTACAGTAAGTAATTTAATTCTGTTACTGATAACCCTGATATTAATTTCATTATCATAAGCATACGATATCTTACAAGAACTAGGACGATGTATCGATGTATGTCAAAAGTAATAAAATAAGAACCTAGAGAAGAATTGATAAAAGTTCCTAGTTGCTCTTGCACTTTTATGTGACCCAATATTTTTTCGCAGCGGCATCAATTCTCCCACCGATCACCTTTACATCAAGATCTTGCGCTTTAATCTGCGCATCATCGGCTCCTGGCCACAGAAAGAACTAGGAGAGAAGGAGCCCGTGGCCTTGAACACGTTTTTGAAGTACTTTTACTTATTGGCTACTATTGGCTGTCAACTTGGTTCGACTGCTTACCTCAGAGCATACAACAGTGAACTCACATTTTTGGAAGCTGGCCACACTTATTTGATGATTTTTATGACTTTCGTTGACATTGTGAGTATACTTTTGGTAAGGTTTTGTCATCATTATCATCATCAGCTACGCGTTTTCGTCCACAGCTAGACATAGCCCTTTTCTTCTCTCCTACATTTCTTTATTTATAATAGGCCTACTTACTTTATTAGACATATAGAGGTACTATCGCAATGGAAAAAACTGTAATGATAGTTAAAGGTAAAGTTTTAAATAAATAAATAAATATTGTATACCATTTATTTATTGTCACATATTTTATTTTATTTTTAGCCTTGACCGTCCCATTGCAAGGCAAAGGCCTCCCTACCCTCCTTCCGCTCGTCTTTTCTTAACGCTTTCTGTGGCCAATCCTTTTCATAGGCGTCAAGCTCATCCCGCCATCTCTTTCTGGGCCTACGTCATAGTATCACATAGGACAAAAAATAATAATAGCGTACTACAGCACTCTCTACTGAGCTCGTTCTTCAGCCGTTCACATCCAACCACTACCAACAACTTTGTTTTATGCGCCTCATTTTAATGTACCTAGTTAAATTTTCATTTCAGTCCAGGATCCTGATGCTCACATTTTCCAAGGAATATCGGAAAGTGAGCAAAGAATTTCTTACTAAAATTCATCTGTTCTACTTCAAAGATAGTTCTGAATATGCTATGAAGGTAATGAACAATCTTGCGAAGTGCTTAAGTAAAACTAGTTCCAGGAAGGTCTTTGCAATTTTTCTGTTATCATTCCAGACTTATAAACGGGTCCATCTGATGTCTCATCTGTTTACGCTATATTTACTATCGCAAATGATATTTGGTTTGTCTTGTTTTAATCTCATCCCAATGTACAACAATTACGTGGCTGGAAGATACAAAAGTGGAGGAACACAAAACTCTACTTTTGAACATTCTCTGTATTTCAAGTATCCATTTGATACCCTCACTGATATGAGGGGATACGTTCTGTCAAATATCATTAATTGGTAAGTCTATAATAATTTGTCGAAGATAGGAGATATCTTACATTCGATGTCGGTGAAAGGAGAACCTTAGTATTGATATCAGGAATACCAGGATGTGGGCGTTATGACGTAAGTAGTGGTAAAATAATAAGGTCTTCGATAAAAAATCATTGTTTATTTCTGTACATTACACTTTTACTTCAATTAATCCACTGACGGGGCCGGTATTTCCTACTGACTATTCCGAGAAGAAATGCCGAAACAAACTCCTAGGTCTCAGTCACTTTCTAAGTGCAAACATGGTTAACAAAGTACATCAAAGATAATGCACTGTTACAATATCAGTCTTAATAGTTGCTGACATTAATTATGTTTTCTGTTTCAGGATACTGTCCTATCTTTGTGCTACATGGTTTTGCATGTTTGATCTCTTTCTATCCTTAATGGTTTTCAATATTTGGGGTCATTTCAAAATGCTTATTCACACTCTAAACAATTTTCCCAAACCACGTTCGGATACCAGTTGTTTAATAGAAGGAGGCTTGACAGTAACAAGTGCAAAATACTCCAAAGAAGAATGCATAGAAGTTTTAAAAAAATTAAAGCAATGTGTTGATTCTCACCGAATGATTGTTAAGTAAGATTGTATCTATAATTACGGCACAAAAATTAGAATGTTTGACAAATGTACAAAATATTTATTTATTCAGGATTCAAATCATTTTAAGACTTTACATTAACTATACCTCTATCTACACTTATGTTACGTTTTATATCACAACCATCTCTTTTTATCACTAACCCTCACCGTAGAAACCACAGTAACACCAAATGTAATTCTAAGGAACTCATTTCTGTTGCATTTATTTTGCTACACTACACCCATTCCAGCAGAACGCATGAAACTTTTTTGGAATCTAGCTGATCAACCAATATTCGTTGTATCTGCATTCACTCCTCTTACATATTTAATACCCTCATTATCCAGGGCCGTTTCAGACTACATTGGTGCCCTTGGGCACAGAATAATTTGAGGCCCTTTTTAAAATGTCTCTTTTTTAACGATGTCCCACACTAGGATATCCTCCTGTGTCGTGGGTGCATTTATATACATACAAGTTCACATACACGTGACACCCAGACCCAAAACATCAATGTGTAGATCACACAAAGATTTGCTCCGTGCAGGAATGGATCCCGCTACACGTTACGTAACAGCCATTTGCTGCGCAACGTGTGGAGGGTGTATTTCCGGTCCTTCGAGGCCCCTTGGGGATGAATGATGGTCCTGATGGGATGGTATAGAGGCCCTGGGCATGGGTCCCGAATGCCCGTATGGTAAAGATGGTACAGCTCAGCGAACTAATTTCAGGTTTACTAACAACGTATCAGACGTATTTGGGCCGATATTGTTCTGCTATTACATATATCATCAGGCTAGCGGCTGTTTACTGTTGCTGGAGTGTTCTCAAATGGTTTGTTTCTTTTATTCTCTACTCATAAGTATTTCTTGTTTAAATTCAGCTATCACACTCGAAATGACCATCTACGGAAGACAAAATGATTGTCTTTCTGTAATAAAACTAACTTTGTCAAATCAAGATTTGATTTCATTGGAGTCTTTTAAATTTCTTGAACATTTCGGGTCGATGATAGATGAAAGCAAATTTTTTTTTTCAGACTGCTCCAGCTCTTATGCGTTATTTGCCTCTAACCTTAATTTCGACTCAGCAACTGATTCAATTATCAGTCATTTTTGAACTAGTAGGAAGTGAGGTAAATTGTTTTTTTTAAGAAATATTTGCTAACTGATCCACTAACTACATCATAGACCTTATTTCCGTTGTTTAGAAACTACTTTTGTATGAGCAAATTTTGGAAATTTTTGGTACGATATAAATTGATCTCTTGAGATCTATTCTTAGATTTAAGTTGTACACAATTTTGGCATTAATGTCCTTGATAATGAAAATAATAATTGAAAGTAAGGCTTTGACTGACATTGTGAATGCATACGGCTTATTAAAATAGAACATTTATTTTTTAATATTTCAGAGTGAAAAGCTACTAAGTGCCGTTTATAGTATACCTTGGGAATGCATGGACACAAGTAATAGAAAATTCGTTTCTTTCTTCCTAATGAATGCTAGGGAGCCAATACATGTGAAAGCCCTGGGTATTGCCAATGTTGGTGTCATGTCTATGGCTGCAGTAAGTTCTACTATATGCAGTTTAATGATTTCACTTTAAGTAGTCTGCTTGTTATATTAGCCCGTATAAAAAAATAAATCTTCATGTGTGAAGTATAGTAAAGAATTGATACAATCAATCAATCAAAGGCTTTTTCTCACACGGAAAACGTTTGAGCATTAATCATCACGCTTGTACAAAGCGGGTTGGCGATTTCAAAGCCATAATTAGAAATTATAAGCCTAGGTTTCCTGACGATGTTTTCCTTCAACGTTTGTCAGTGATGTCTAAAAAATCTTTGAAAGTATACAACTCGGAAAAAGTCGCATTGGTACTTGCGGTTGGTACGTTTCGAGCCCGCACCCTCATGTATGAGAAGCGGGCGTCTTAAGCCTCAGGGCCACCACGACTGTTGATTTGATACAATTATTATGTTTAAAGTTTTGTTGTAACGTTTAACTGTGTTCGATTTTTCCATATAAACTAATTTCAATTTTTGTTTCAGATTTTGAGAACTTCATTGTCATATTTCACATTTTTACGTAGCATTTGAATTTGTTACACAATTATTTCTATAACTATTATTTTGTCTGCCGTGTTGTGTTTAGTATAAACTTTAATGATTAAATAAATACCGACTCTGTTTGTATTGTTCCAATAAACTCTTCATTCACCTATTCACGAATTTTAATTTAACTCGTCGAGTACCGGTTTTGCAGACACAATTATAGAACGATAGGTTGCGGTCACCGGTGACCGCTTGGTGTTTGTTTGACAGTTTAAACGTTATTCTTTTTCTTAGAAGTAATATTTTTTTTTATATTTTTTTAATAAATTCCTAATTTTCTTTAGGATTTTGTGTAGTAATAAAAGGATATAAACTGATTTTAATATTAAATTAATACTTTTTAGTTTGAACGTCTAATAAAAAGAATTCATTGGTTATATTATAGAGGTAATGATGGTAAGGTTTGTTACCTGCAAGTTATGTTTCAAGATCTTAGAAACTTATTAAGAAACTCTTGCGTTGTCTAACAAAATATCCAACATGCATTACTTCCAGAAAATTCTTTCATCTATTCAAGAAAATAATTCTAGACGATGGAAGTCTGTAACAAATATTTTATACTTTCAGTATGAAAGTACAATATTAAGTTAAGTACTTGATGAAGTATTTCTATTTTTAGTCTTAAAACGATTCTTCTTGTCGTGTTGCTGGGACAAAAATGAACTCAAGTAAACTCATTTGTTGGGATTTTTAAGTTATTACATATTTTCACAAATGTGTAATAGGAATTAATGTCTGAATTGTTTTCGTTTTATGATATAACTAGCTTCTGTCCGCGACTTCGTGCGCGTACTCCCGTTTTCCCGTTCGTGATTTTAGGTAAAACGTAAAAAATAATGTTGAATAAAAGTACCTATCCTATGTCCATCTCCTGATTCTAATCTTCCCACCAATATTCATCTAAATCAATTTAGCCTTTCTTGACTTATAAATAGTGTAACTAACACTTTCTTTTATATATATAGATTAACTATTTTTATAACAACACTAAATATTGTATTGTAAATAATAAAAAAGCAGTATATGTATGTACGTTTAAAAATATAATTTCATGTGTTACTTCTGAATACAAGCAGTGTTTTACTTTATCGTACCACTAAACATAAACTATTTTCGTTTGTCAAAGTTTAATAAGATGAAAAAGTAAATGGACGATTTTTAAACTACATTATTATATGTTTTTTTAACGTCGATATAAGGATTTTCTCATACATACATCACATACACATGAATCTCAGACCCGAGCTATCAATTTGTGGATCACACAAAGAGTTGCTCCGTGCGGGAATCGAACCCGCTACACGTTGCGTGGCACTTGGCAGCCGGTTGTCTAGCCACCGCGCCTAACGGTTAAAGATAAGAATATATAAAGGTATAGGAAGAGAAGATAGAAATATATAAAGATAAAATAAAAATATTTTGATTCATATCATCTACTTCGTTCGCATAGATGGCAATAAAATCTAATTCAACAAAGTCGCAATAAAACCTAGTTTAAAATATTGTTTGATATTTTAAAATAGGTATATAGTAATTTGCTTAGCGTAACAATAATTATCCTCACAGTTCAGCTGAGTTTTCGTGGAAAATTTCTATGGAAAAGTACGATAATCAAAAGACTTATAATTCCTAGTGATATAATATTTCATCAAAGGTATTATTAGTTTACTCGTTCTATGGAAAATTCTTGAAAAATCGTATACCTATATAACATTAATTATTAGTGGGAATCGTGAATTTTCTCTGAAATAAACAACGTCCCATCTTTCCAGATCGATATTTTCTCGAAGAAACTCTGTAGGGTATAAAGTTTTCATTCACAATTTTTTTTAACCCTCTGCAACTGCCGTGATTAAATTGTTACAATTCAACTGAGGTGTATATTATACCAGACACCATTTCAACAGCAAATATTTTTGTAGAATTAAACTATAGCGAGCTATATAGAGAACAATACAGTAAGGTACTCGCAGCAGTGATACTCGTATTTGAAAAATGACGGTATAACACGTGATTTTGTATTTCGCGGTTTCTGTGGGACTACACGTCAGCTGCAGACGGTTAAGATTAAAACTTGATACTGTTTCGTTTTCCGAGTGGTCGCAAGTGTGACTGCCGAGCAAGAGGTCTCAGATTTAATTCCCGGGTCGGCCAAAGTACTAATGGGATTTAAAAAAAATCTCAGTACTAGCACGGAGTTTGGAATTATGTCCGGTATATGGCAATAGGCTCACTCCCAATTACGTGGGACACATAACATAAATAGTAAAAAGTGGGTGTTACATTGTACAGTGGTATTAAGTGCGGTAATGTGCACTTCAGCCTAGGTCTTCGGGGATAAAAGGTGTTATGTTATGTGAAACTTAAGATGAGTTACCAATATATAGGCTGACTAAATAATTTAAGGAATTTATAAAATTATTTACGCTAAATACACGTTAAATAAAACAGCAAAATTAAACATGCAAAATTTTATTCCCATAACATTGAGAATTATAAATCACCATGATGTAATTAAAAACTAATTTTATCCACATTAAAAAATAAATACATTTATATTCCATGCTTCATAATTTGTTAAAAATTGACCTTTTAACATTCCATCATGTTAAATTTATTCTAAGTTTAACAAAAAAAAAACCTATAAACATTTGTATAAAAAGAATAAAAATATTGCAGCTAAATTATGGCATAATTATTATTAATATCTGTTACCTAAACTTATTTTTCCTGAATATTTTGTTCAGGAACATTTCTATTATATCTTCACGTTTTCAAAATAGGACACTATTTTGTACCCCACATATAACTTCATTTTTGTTAACAATAATATTTAAGTGTCTTTTTTATACTTGATAGGTCGACGTTTGGACACCATCTCGCCTGGTGATAAGCGATGATGTGGCCAACGATAGAGCACGCCTACCTATGAGCAACCTGTTCACTCGGGACTTGAAGACACTCAAGTTATTACAATTTCAAATTGTACAATTTTTAAAAGTATTCAATTAGTTAACTAACTAACAAAATTCCACTGGTGGTAAAAATATTGGTCCACTTGCAAACATTTCATTTTACTTATTTATATCTGTGATTTAAAATATCATATTTTGAAGAGTAAAATAAAATAGGTATATTCTTCAAATTGTTCAATTAAAAAGTAAAACAAAAAATTCACAATGTTACTTGAATGTAATTATAATTTATTTAAAATTTATTTCGAGTTATATTCATATTGTGAAGAAACTATTTATATAATTCTAAATTTATACAACAAAAGTTTTAATGTATTTGCCCCAACATAATTCTCGTAGGATTAAATCGTGAAGATATTTTGTAAAATGTATATATTCTACTTATGAAGGTTGACCTATTTCACTATATACACAAAATAGATTGAATTTAAAGTTGGCCAACCATATTTAAGAGTAGCAATAATATTTTCTAAACTAAGATTATAATAACTATAAAGAAAATGCCCGTTTTGGGGGAGAAATATAATATTTAAATAAAATATCGCTTAATAATTACATTTGTAGATTTTTTTCACATACTCAATGCCTTATTTTAAGTAAAAATAAGCAATTTAATAAATCTCATTAAATGATAAGTACTAATCTCCATTGACACCGCTAGATGGCGTTGATGTAAATCTCGTTATTTTCGAACTAAAATGACTTTTGTGATTTATTTATTTACTTCTAAAAGCAAACTTCACTAATATTTTTTTAACGTTTTGAAGCTTTTCTAGCTTTTGATTTGTTTAGTGACATTAACATGAGAAACTATCGATTACAATTTATTTTCTCTTACCAAAATTTTAATAATGAAAAATAATTCGTAAGTATTCTCTTACACAATTCTTAATTATATTCCCATTCATTTTACAATGACCAAATTCTAAATACGTAAAAATTTACAGTAGATATCTATTTATTTCGAAATTAAAACAGTATCTCATTCTAATTTTCAGATTTCCAACTATTTCTGGTCTTACTTGTAACTCATATTTTTTCTAAGCTCGAATTTGTATTTTTTTAGCAACAGGCCTCACATCTGACTAGGCCTACTTCATCACAATTCATACATTTCAGCGCCACGAATTCTGCAGTGAAATGGTTCCTGTGAAGGCTTTTCTTGGATCCATTGCAGATCCTGCAGGGCAGGAGACGGAATCCACCACACATTTGGCAGGTGTTGCAGGCATCTGGACTCTGGAATTGAGAAAAGAAATAAGTTAGTAAGGCAGTCATCATCATCACTATCAATATCGGCCTGCTTCTGACCGCTGCTGGATTTAAACCTTTCTAACAGTACTTAAAAAACCACTGAGTTCTTAAAAACTGAGTGAAGTAAATTTTTTACCAACTAGTACGCAAGACTAGTAATAATTGTGGTGGTTTTATAAGGCGATTTTGCTAAACTAATAAAGGGTGGTATTGAAATAGAAATCGACTTGTCCCAAATAAAAAAAGTTAAGCTTTGCAAAGAAAAATACAAGCAATCTTTTGTTTTTCCGTCCTTGAAGAAGGTGCTTATTGGAAATACCTCTAACCCCCAAGGAGGCTGGAAATGCACTTGTATCTCCTCTGGTGTTTTGTGTATCTACGTGTGGTGCTGATTGCTTACCGGTGATCTGTCTGCTAGTTTACCGGTTTACACCATAAAAAAAATTAGAGCCAATTTGAGCATCGCTATTTTCTCCTGCCTTAGACCATCTACAAACACAGGTAAACAGTTTGTAACAACATGTCGAGCAGAGGATGCACGTCCGGCATATGCCACGTCTTTCATGTATCATCTATAAAGTACCTACACGATGTATCGCATTTGTTTCCTTTTGAAATATGAAGTTCAAAGCGAGGTGGTCTTGACCCAATTTCGTCAAAGTTGGTATTGATTTGGGAAGTTGTTCAATTGTTCTTAAATTAAAGGCCTGTATTCATTCTTTTCGTTTTTTAAAACCAATTGTAGTTGTTTTTTTTTTCAGATTGATCAATGATATATGAAATCATATTTTTTTTCTTACAATTAGTTACTTACGATGTGTAAAAACTATGGTTAAGAGCGTCCATAAAAGCTCAGCACACATATACAACTAAACTAGCGAAAAATGTATTACACCACAAATTTTGGGCCACTCCTTTAAAAACAAATACACAACCACTTAACCAGAGTGACCGAATCAAATCTCCAGCTGCGAGCACAAATACAAATACACCTCAATTTGTATTGCAACCATCAATGAAGATAGTACACACACTTCACATAATGTTTCAACGTAATGAAATAAACGTTGAAAGGTCAAAACAACAATGTATTAAATGGAGAGTTCATCAAAGGTCATATACAACAAGCATTCATAGTTTCAATCTTCGTATCCGAACGTCAATTATTATTGAACCTGTTCTTCAATGCGGCCTTCAAGTCACCTTTATCAAATTCACACCTCATGCAATAATTTACGATAACAGTATTCAAATATTATGAAACTATGTTTCGTAATTGCATCGTTAGTGGTGTGATTTGATCACAACCGTCTTCTCCAATGTCCCACTCATCGCACTGACTTCTTACATTCATCCTTTTTCGTACAGGCAATTTTTCTGTGGAATGCGCTCCCCCTGGATGTCAGGATGGTCTCAACTCGACTAACTTTTAAGCAGAAAGTACGTGAGCTTTTCCTAAAGAGGTTGGCTGAATCATCGCGCTAACTATCCACTGTGTACTAGTAAGCAAGTATATATTTATATATTATGTATATATGTATGTATGTAGGCATATTGTACTCATGTGTAGGTATACATTATAATTAAATTTATTTATGTATGTATATCTCCGAAATATATTAGTTTATCTTTCATTGTTAAATAAAATCACTGCTTGCCTCTTGCACCTACCATTTACTCTTCTCTGCAACACCCAAAAGTCAGACTGGTAGAAAATGCCTGCGGCATTAAGTCTACCTTTTTGTACATTTTGTGCATGAAGCATATTAAATAAATAAAAAAAAATTGATTAAAGACTTGGTTAAGACTCTAGTCGTGAGTCAGGAAAGGTAAATAATAACGTCACTCTACGTGAAGACGTCTACGTGTAGGTACTTCTCAACAATAATGACATGAATCCCATTGCTAAGGAGTGAAGACAGCCAGATACAAATATAGGCTCCAGGCTAGTGCTGGGAAAAATGTTAATGGTACTTTCGCGACCCAGATATCAATGCCGAGGTTTTCCAAGCGCGGTAGTAGATAGCAGTCGTGTTTACAATCACTCAACAAATTATAGTATTTAGTGATAGTGGTGGAGCCGCGGAGGACTTAACGTGTGCTTCGGCTCGAAGTGCAGGAGTAGGAACGGGGTAGTTAAGTTATTAGTCAGTAAGAGTCGGACGCTCTCTCCCGCCTAACCCAGGCGGGAAAGAGAAGTCATTCGATGATTTTCACCTGTTAAAAAAAATAGTGATAGTGGTAGGAAATATAGAATTTCCGTTTGTTTATTGCTTCTTTTTTGGCATGATGATTCAATAAAAACTAAGGGATAAATCAGAGCCATAACATGTTTGGAAAATTACACTCATTAGTAATTTCATGTTGCATTATAAAATGTCGAAATTAGTTCGCGGTAAATATTCTTGCATAAGACCGACGTATGTTGTCAATTTTGCAATTATTTTCTTTTCGTCATAAAATTCACTGTCAACGGCCTGTCGCCATTTTGTTAAAAAGGTAATTGGTGGAAAGATTACAATGAATGATTAAACATGTTTTTATAATTAATTTGTAAAGTTCGTTTAACTTTTCGTCTGGTATTTGGTATTTGGCCTTCAAGTAATGTTATTTATTTATCAGATTTCATATCTTTCTTTAACTTTTACGACTAACCATTCTTTGTCGCCATAAATAGCGAACAATACCTATCATCTTAACTTTTCTATCTAAACTTTCTTTACGTTTTATTACTGCGAAAAATGTTCCGAAGAGGAATGAAAAATGCCATCGTCAAAATGACATAGCATTGAGAAAGTGCACCTTACTTTGGTATCTATCTTGTCTGATAATATCGTATGTTATCATCATGAGTCCGTCTCAATCTACTACTGGACTATCAGTCTCTTCGACATACATAAGCAAGTTTGACAAAATTTTTACGTTGGACGCGCGAGTTTTTTTAATATATATAGGCAAACGAGCCGACATGATACTTCATGGTAAGCCATCAGCGCCGCCTATTTAATAACTTAAACACCAGAGTTACAAGCGCCATGGTGGTCTTCTGGGGTAATGGATTTAAAGATGGTTAACTTTATCAGAGAGCGCTGCTCCTTATGTGTAATTAGCTTTGCAATATACCAGCAGTAGAATTAAGGTTAGTTACAAAATTCATTTTATTTCTAAGTCTGTCGTTACCATTATGTACTCTGACATTAAAATAGGCTTGCCAATAACTTGACCACACAATTTCGTATTGTTTGTACTTATACTTAGAGTTGACATTCCATTACATAATAAATACGTAATGTTGTCCCAAGCAGTGCTAACTAAAATAATAAACAAATTGGTAGAAGGAAAGGATTTCTCTTCTTAAGCAATATTCCGTCTTGTGTTAAATTCTATTGAGTGTTCTAGAAATTTTAATATTAAGTTGGTTTTCCTTAATATTTTTGTGTCTCTAACCAGTCAGAATTTCTGAAATAACTTGCATTTAAAGCTAATCAACGATTAATGTTTTTATTAAACCGACTTGTAGGTCATGTGGGTCTGACGACCGGGTAAGGATTCTAGAGATCAGTTCCCGTTCTACAAAAGTGTATTTCAGTTTAACGAAAATTTTTCTAAGTAGAAGACAGTATAACTCAGACAGTTAACTTTTTACACAAACATATTAAATTTTTCAGGACATTTTTTAAATTCTCTGAACCCTGTAACGAATAATCCCAATTATCCAGTCCCCATCATACATATTTGCAACTAGAGTGACTAGACACAGCATAAATGATGACATTGTTCCTGACTTGTAATTTATATGCTTCACAGACGTACAAAGACGTGCAATGTAACGTAAAATGTATGGAAATTGTTGCTTTGTTGCATACAGAGTGTCGTCTTTATGATATGGTGATTGTTGGTTTCTCTCCTTAGATTGTATTTATTAGCTTAACTTTATAACAATTTATTTCATTTCTTCTCACAGTGAATGTATGAAATTTTATTTTACATTTCGTTAGATAGGTACGTGCTTTTTACTAAATATGTCTGTTTACATATTTTTCATTCCAAATTCTCCTATTTTATAGTGGTGTACCAGTGACTCCGTCGTCAATACAATGATGAAGCTACAACAATAACATTCCATAAAAAATTGCGATTACTTAACATTGACTCTAGTTTTTTTTTAAACGTTTCCCCACAATAGTGTATTGCCATCTATCAAGGGTACATTTACTAACGTATAGATTCACATACACCCAGACCCAAAACAACAATTTGTGAATCACACAACGAGATGCTCTGGCCGAGGATCGAACCATTAACACATTGCACGGCACCGCCAACAGTGCAGTTGGAAAACAAAAACCAGCACTCCAATTTGTCCACTTCAATCCAATTTCTAAACTGAAATCAATTGATAGTTTATTTTAGGTCTCAATTACATCCTCACTACATCTTGATCAACACAAATTAGGTGATCCCACCGCCCACAAGGATCCCAATTTTATTAGTTCTATGTGTTCGACGTTTAGTAAATGGTTTATTTATTAGTTGCCATGTGATCTTTGATGAATTGGATATGAATAATTGTTTTAGGGCAATTGGGTAGCCAAGTAGTCAAATCCAATACTTTTTTCGAACTGTCAATAATGACACTTTTCAGTAAATTTTGTACGAGATTGTGTATTGTGACATCACGTTTTTTTAGCGTTAAACACCATACTTATTTCTTAAAAATTTGCTGGAAAAATACTTAAATCAAGTTTGTTCGTCATAAAATCAAAACTATCAAACACCGCGAGGACACCGGTGACCGCAACCTATTGTTCTTTAATTGTGTTTATAATGACGGTACTCAAAGGGTGAAAGTGTAATTAGTTTTTTGTTTTTTTTTACACTTTATTGTATAGAACAGTCGAAATAATTTATCTATGATTAAGGTAAGTACCCAATTTAGAAGGACATAACCTTATTTATGTCTTACGTTATATTTAACAGAGGGTCAGTTTTTTATACAACAGGCATAATTCTAGGCTCAGTTAATGCGTCGTACGATCCGGTGAATTTGGGCTCATCTCTAGTATTATCTAATAGATCACAATTAATAATACCATTGCACGAGTAAGAACATAATACAACGCATCCTTGAATTCCATTTTAGTTTGGACCAAATATTGTTAAACTCATAGATTTTATTTTTTTAGAACGGAGTCGGGAATATCGCAAGTAACAATATGATAAAAATATTAGCAAACAGAGGATTTAATCCCAAGAAGTCCGTATGTTTACCTCCGTCTATCGTTTTGATCAATAGGACAGGAATAATTATATGTCTTCAAATGTCTAGAGGTAATTAAAATATAACAAATCTCGATACTCTACCTTGTAAGGTTTCAGCATTTTCCTTAGTTCTCCACTTTCGTTCAGCTTTTCGACGGTATCTGCGTCCTGAAACCAAATAAATGCGGTTTTAATTAAATTTTTCGTAATAAAGCTGCTTTAGTGACAGTTGTGGTAGAAAACTACAATACTTAATGTTAATTAAATATTTTATATTTTGAGATATGCACCGTATTGTGGAAACGACTTTTTACTATTTTTGTAGTTTACTTGTCGCATTGTGATTTTCGTTTCGTATCTTTGTTGTAGAAAGGAAATATTGCTCTATTTCCTTTGTCTGCATCTATACATATAAATGAAATTGGAGTGTCGGTTTGTAATGTTAAAATAACCGCTTTTTACTACATACATAATATTATGATCCACATAATAAAACATATTTTTTTGTCTGTCTGTATGTTTGTACTAGCTAATATCTGGAATGGCTAGAGCAATTTTGCAAGATTTTTATTGGCAGGTAGCTGATGTACTAAGGAGTAACATAAGCTACATTTATTTTGAATAATTGAAACAAAAAATAGTTATGTTCTAAAATTATTATCTTACGCGGGCGAGGTTGCGGGCAATAGCTAGCTATTATTAATGGTATACAATAAAAAATAGTATATTCCATTCTATTCCAATCTAATTATATGTTTTTTAAATAAAAAAGCCTTATTGCTCGTGTGGTTGCTATCGTATATGCAACTGCAGAGTAAAGAGTCTCGGGCTTGACTCCCGAGTATTATTGAGGCTTTTAGATTTATGAAACCTACAACACATTTTATAAGAGAGAAGCTAGTAGCCCAGTTACAATGCCAATCGTGCAATTAAAACAAATATTTATATCAAAATACCTACATTAAAACATTTCTTAACATCAGTATCATCGTGAAGTGTCGTTCGACTTCTTTCCAACAAGATTTTCTTAAGAGAAATTCCTTTTTCCCTGACATGGAAAGCGAACTAGATTGCGTGTGATAACATATGCGATATTGTATGTACTATGAAGTGATATGTTACATATTATCATGATAGAAAGAAATCATTTTATCCCCAAGCGGTCACCGATGACCGCTCTCCACTAACATTATAGACCTAATTTCCAATGTTTAGAGATTACTTTCGTATGAACAAATTTAGGGGCTGATTTACAACACATGGTTTTTATTATGTAACTACATAAAATTACAAGTAGTGAATATGACATATTAACAAAAAATCGCGGATTACTCACGTTAATATACTGTGAAAAGCTTTACTAGTTTCGAATCACAGGAGGTTCTACGCGCTGCCTGCAGCCGTCAGTAGGCTGCTCGATATCGCCGCGACCGCGCACGCTGCTCATGAGGAAGAATCTCATTGTGGTTCGAAACTAGGAGAGGTTTTCTCAGTATATTCTCGTGAGTAATCCATTTTTAGTTAGTTTAGTATGTCTTACAATAGTTATTTTAAAAATATGGCATATCTATTATACACAGGACGTATAACATTATGTACTGATTGGTAAAAACAAGTTGTCATTAAGGAGCATTGTTCAACTTACTCAATACTACTACAAATACTCAATCGTTTGTAGCGTATGTGACTACTCGCCCAATAAGTACGTAGTGGAAGTTAGTTATTAAGATACTTTATTAAAGTTATTCATAAGAACAACATAACACAACATCACGTCTTTTACCCCTGGCAGAGGTGCACATTATGCCACTGCGCAATGTAACATCCACTTTTCACTATATACTTTGCCCGATCCGGGAATCGAACCCGAGACCCATTGCCTGGCAGTAGCACTTACGACAATTCGGCCAACGAGGCAGTCAGAAAGAAAGAACCACTCCCTAATTGCTCCACATTGCACGTTTATTGTTAAGAAATCGTTTCAAGACAGAAAGCCTCAAAACAACCACCACTTACACAACAATCTGCATAAAGAAAATGATGCACACTTCTAATAAATATTATCTAATATCTCAAAACTCCATTTTCCTTAACATTTACATTATAATAGTTGAAGAAAACTTCTCATAAATTTAGCTTAACTTTCTGTAACACTCGATTTCGAGGGAAATGCAGACGACAGGTAAAAGCCGGTAACTGATGGTAGAGAAAACTAGATTTGGGATGTAACAAGTCAAAGATGATACCTGTTCTACCTGTTATTGATATTAAATAACAGGTATTGAGGACAGATACCATTCTACTTTTGGTGCATAATCTTTTAATTTCGGAACAGACATTTATATAACTGACAGTTATGTGACCTGCTGGGGTTGCGGTTGACATATAGGTACTGTGGCTCCACCATAAAACTGGAGTCGAAATAATATATAGTCGTATAAATAATAAAGACCTCATAGGGCGGGAGAAGTTATTTAATGATTTGCCACCCACACAAATGCTGTTATTGGATCTGCTACTTAGTCTACTGTAGCTGTTATTTAGCCGCGAGAGCAACTGTTATATTATATTATCAGTGTAATACTTGTTACTTATACCTGTGACAATAAACATGCCTCATGCCTAAAGATTACGAACGACAATAGGAAACTTGGAGAGATATGCTCGTGTTTTGTTTTTCCGGGAACGAAATATTTATTGATTTCCGAAGTATAGGAAATGATGGAACACGTTTGAAGAGGGATTCAGGAAAATTGTATCGATGTGTTTTTGGTGGGCATTCGTTGCTTAGCTACGTACTTAAAACCAATTTATAAACTAAATTTATAATTGTACGCTTTCGTGCTATTTCTGTTGCTTTTTATTAAAACAAATTTTATTGACTACATCTGATTTTGACTGGCAATAAAAAACTGTTGTAGGTAAATCCTCCGCTAATGCCGTGCCGGTCACCGGTAACCCCCATGGCGCTTAACGTGTTACTAAACTTTTTTGTAATCACCTCCAGCACTTCTTAATGGTCTTCGTATCGTTATAAAAACAAAATCGTAGCATTTAATTCATAGCTAATCTCAAACAGGTAAAGGAAGTGTCGGTAAGCAGTGCATTATCACAGGGCACAGTCGGTAATGCAGCTTCCGATGGGCGGCCTTTGTACGCTCTGGGTTTTATCGGGTTTATCCCACTTTTACAAAGAGCTGTAAATTGTAGGATATGGTAAAGATAGTGTTATTATTATTTATTTATCTATGTAAAAACTAAAGACTTGACAAAAGTCAAAACTCATCATCATCCTAGCGTTATCCTTGTTTGATGTTTTTCGAGGCACAGGTTCCGCTTTGTTGATTCTTTTTTCCATTTCGCGTGGTTTTTTTATATTCACGCATATGCAGTGAGGTTGTTTCCACGCATATCGAAATATCATTATTTCACACTATTTTCCAAAGAAAACCGCTTCCCCATCTTCATCTTTTTATGCTATAAATTAGGTACCAACAATAATGCTCTTCCTTAATCAGCTACTGTAACTTTGCGATTCAACACCAGAGGAAGGACAAATGCATTGCTGGTCATGTATAGGACAACAAAATAAATGTTTCACGTTGCATTCCTGCAGCTGTAGCCAAATACCAATTAGCGCTTGTCTACATGTAGAATAATAAACCAAATTATATGGAATTGTCATAAATTTTGACTTGTCAATGTCATCCACATACATTTAGTTTTCTACTCTCTTTGTATACAAGCGCTAAAGTGGCGTTTGGCTTAGGGCACTGGAATCCTGGATCGCGATTTCAACCATTCAGTTTGACATACGCTGTAAACAAACTGCATTAGAGTTCTATTTTCAATAAGCAAATCTTTAAATATATAGTTTTTTGGTATAAGCTTGTAAACGAGCAGACGGATTACCTGATGGTAAGCAATCAGCGCTGCCCATGGACATCCGAAACACTAGAGGCGTTACAAGAGCGTGACCTGCCATTCGAGGATTAAAAATTTGTGGATTGTTGAATTGGGGTATTGGAGAGATTGGGGAGAGAGGTAAATGGGCCTCCAGTAAGTTATTGTGACTGGCTGTAAAAGCCGTATCCAATATGATTCATGAATCCTGCCGTTAGCTCTAGTTTATATGTTAATGTGTAGCATTATACCGTACCCGCTCCCCTTTAACTAGTAGCGTGCAGATAAAAACTCAGATTACAGAAAGCTTATATGTATCTAGTTATATTAGGTATGTATGTACATATGTGTATGCAAAATGAGTTTTTTTTTAACCGCGTTAAATGGGTCACACGGTTCATTGGTTATATTAGCATACGTATAAATAGGTTCCATGTCGCTTGTTGTTCCTTAAAGGAGTAGACAGATGTATACTAACTTAGAGGTTACTTTGTTTCGGCGATTTTTTAAGTAAAAAGACCTTCATTATAATAATAATTCTACTCGCCTCCAGGAAATCTAACATAATATCACGCGTTTTATCCCCGAAGGGGTAGGCAGAGGTGAACATTATGCCACTGTACATGTTACACCTACTTTTCACTATTTATGTTATGAGTCCCATGTAATAGGGGGTGAGCCTATTGCCATATACCGGGCACAATTCCAGACTCAGTGCTACTACTGAGATTTTTTTTAAGCCCAGTAATACTTTGCTGACCCGGGAATCTAACCCGAGGCCCCTTTCCCGGCAGTTGCACTTGCGACCACTCGGCCAATGAGGCAGTCCATTTGGAAAGGAAAGCAGTCAACCTCCAGGAAATCTGTTTTTCTAATATAGTTTTCTAGTTTTGTTTATGCACTAAAGAAACACACATCATCATCTTTATCGTCAATAACAAATTATTTTCATTGACTACACGGTTGGTGCTGCGGCTGAGCAACTGGCGCCGTGCAACGGGCAGCGGGTTCGGTTCCCGCACGGGCAACTCTTTGTATGATCCACAAATTGTTGTTCCATGTCTGGGTGTCTGGGTGCGTTTACAAACATGTAAGTAATGTGAAATTGTATGTTTGTAAACGCACCCACGATACAAGAGAAAATGCTAGTGTGGGGAAACGTTTTAAAAACACAAAATTATTTCTTTTAATGGTGGCATATCATTCAATTACTTTTCCCATCATGGGTGAGGCGAGACCCGAGAGAGAGTGTCAAACTCTTACTG